CAAGATAATGGCTAAAAAGAGCCAGTGGATATCAGCAGCTTCTTCCAAACTAATGGATGCACGTGAATGCATCCCTGCAGGCTCTGAGTACAATGAAGAGCGAGCGCAACTTAAAAATAAACTGACGAAAAGTCTGCGCAACGATCGTGAACAGTGGTGGGCAGCGAAGGCTAAAGAGATGGAAAAGGCAGCGGCGATCGGTAACAGTAGACAGTTATTTAGACTTATTAAGGAGACTGGGGGGAAATGGTCAACAACAGTTAGTGAGGCTTTAGCGGAGAAGGACGGATCTGCGATTCACTCGCAGGGAAGACGACTGGAAGATGGGCAGAACACTTCGAGGAACAGTTTAACTGGCCTCCAGACACCATTGCGTTGCCCGCTATCCAGTCGGACCCTGAATGGGACATAGAGACAGGCCCCCAACACTAGAAGAAGTTGAGAAAGCGGTAGGTAGCCTGAAACGAGGAAGGGCAGCAGGACCAGACGGACTACCTGCTGAGGTATACAAGAATGGTGGTAGAGTGTCTTAGTCAGGTTAACGGAAGTGTTAGCCAGTATATGGGAATCAAATACGATCCCCTCCGACTGGTCTAAGTCACTCATCATCCCAGTCTTCAAGAAAGGCGAGAAGTCCTCTTGTGATAACCACAGAGGAATCAGCCTGACGAACATAGTGTCTAAGATCCTAAGTTCTATAATTCTCCGACGCCTGAGTGGAGCTCGGGAACAGCAAGCCCGAGAAAACCAGGCAGGCTTTAGACCTGGCCGTGGATGTATCGACCAAATATTCACACTGCGCCAGGTCCTGGAACATAGGCATGCTTACAGACGCCCGACAATAGCTGTATTTCTCGACCTGAAGGCGGCATTTGACTCCGTTGATCGAGAAGTCTTATGGCAGTGTCTGTCACTGAAAGGCGTGCCTAGTAAGTACATCACCTTATTGAAAGCTCTCTACTCGAACACTTGTGGGCATGTTAGAGCCTATGGTGAGTTGTCCAGGGAGCTATACTCATCAAGTGGTGTCCGTCAAGGATGCCCACTATCCCCATTCTTATTTAATTTTATCATAGATATTCTTATGGAGGTTTCCCTCTCGTCACCTAATTACACAGACGTTGACCCGATCACAGGTGAATTTTCTTTAGATCTAGAATATGCAGATGACATAGTCCTGTTAGGTGAAGACGCTGACAAGATGCAGAGTCTTCTGAACACTTTGAGTGGGAATTTGAGAATGTTTGGGATGCGATTTTCACCACCCAAATGCAAATTTTTGCTCCAGGACTGGTCTTCAGCGGTACCGCGGTTAACAATAGAGAGTGAAGTGGTTGAGTGTGTTGACCACTTCACTTACCTGGGAAGTAGGATCAACCCTGGTGGGTTAGTTGCCGATGAGATTTCTGCACGGATACAAAAGGCTCGATTGGCTTTTGCCAATTTGCGCCACCTATGGCGCCGCCGTGATATTCGTTTGTCTATTAAGGGTCGCGTGTACTGCACAGCAGTCCGCTCTGTTCTACTGTATGGCTGTGAAACATGGCCATTGAAAGTGGAAGATATAAAAAGGCTTCAGGTGTTTGACCACCGTTGCCTTCGTAGTATAGGACGTATTCCGTGGTGTCACCATGTGAGTAATGCAGAAGTTAGGTGTAGAGTTTTGGGGAGAAGAGGTAAGTCAGTCGACGAGGTTGTGAACCTTCATCGACTGAGATGGTTGGGACACGTACTACGTATGCCTAGTCACCGATTGCCTCGTCACACAATGTTGGCTGAGGTGGGTCCAGGCTGGAAAAAGGCTCGAGGTGGCCAGACTAAAACATGGCACCAATGTATGAAGTCTCTGACTGTTGGTTTAAGCCATGTAGGACGATGCAGACTAGGTGTTTGGTGTCCGAGGGACAAGAGGAACCAGTGGTTGGAGACCCTAGGTGATATGGTTCAGAACCGAAGTCAGTGGCGCAGATGTATACATACATTATCCTCATCTTAACAACGCTATACCGAATCTCACCATTTTGTCACTCCTCTTTCCTTTCTTCTCGTACTTCATATTTCTCTTGACTGCATTCACCTATCTTCATCCTTCACCTCACTACCTTTCTACTTGATGAACTGACGTGAGATGTGGCAACTCAGATCGTTACGCAGTAATGCCTGGTCCTATGTTGATAATGATGATGAGTCACTTCTGAAGCACATGAATGCGGGACCTGTGAAGTGGCCAGTTGCGAGCTGAAGTCAAAGCATGGTTTCTATACTATCGGGGTCATTTACCGTAGTCCATCATGCCTTGCAAATGATTTCGTGCTAACCCATATACGTAACTAAAGTAGATGTAACAAATGCCTAGTAGTTGGGGATCTGAATGCTCCACACATAAACTGGATGGAGCTAAAAGTCTCACCGCCAGGTGGTTCCTTCGAAAATGACTTACTTTGGGCGGTCTTAGAATCTGCTTTAGTTCAAAACATAACAAGTGCAACACATTGCGATTTTGAACATAAGCCATCGTTATTAGATTTAGTTTTAACCCATCAATGTGAAGACATTCTGGATCTACGATACTTCCCCCCATTAGCTAACAGCGACCATGTAGTACTAACTTTTGATTTTCGGACTAATGAGTTTGATTATGATACTGCGTCCCCTAGACCTAATGTATGGCGTGCGGACACTTCAACTATTGCGCAGTCAGTAAGGACTGGACTGTCGACAAGGACTCATCAATTGAGAATGTATGGAATAGGTTTAGAACTCTATTTGAAGAGGTAACGACGCCATTTATACCATGTTCGACTCGACGATCCTCACATTGCCCTCCATTGTTTAATAAAGACATTAAGAGACTGTTAAGGCGGAGGAAACGTTTATGGGACTTATTGCTAGAAACTAGACTGGAAACATTTAAGACTGAGTACTGTAAGGTCCGTAATCTCTGCAAGACTTTGATTACACGGTCTCGAATGTCCTCCGAGAAGCAGCTTGTGAGGGATTGCCAAAATTGTCCTAAAAGACTGTTCGCATTCGTCAGAAGGAGGACTAAAAGAAAATGTGGAGTCCCCTCTCTGGCGGCGGATGAGAAGTCCGATAGTCTGGCGAAATCTAATCTGTCCAAAGCTGAATGTCTCTGACTACTTTAGTGAAGTCTTCTCTGTAGACCATGGCGATGAAGTGCTAAATAGTGGTGTCAGCACTGTTCCACTGATAGATACAGTTCACAACAAAGGAAAGAGTCTTACAGTTGCTTATTAACCTTAGACCTGGAAAATCCCCAGATCCCGATGAGTTGCATCCCAGACTTCTATCCTCGCTAGCAGACATCATTGCTGGGCCAGTCAAGGATCTTTTCAACATGTCCCTAACTCAGACTCGTCTCCCTAGAGACTGGAAAGATGCGATAATCAGCCCAGTCTTTGAGACTGGTAGTCGCCATTTGGTGTCCAACTATCGTCCTGTGAGTCTAACTAGCATAGTTCTTAAGATTTTAGAGAAAATAATTCGTGACAGGGTGCTTAAACATGCGGAATCAAGCAATCTTTTGGCACCACAGCGACATGGTTTTCGTACTGGGCACCCCTGTCTAACTAACCTCCTTATCGCAAGAGAGGAATGGGTTGCAGCCTGTGATTGCAAGCTGCCAGTAGATGCCGTGTTTATAAGCCTCGGTAAAGCATTCGACAAAGTGTCGCATGTGAAATTACTAGGAAAGCTCTCCTCCTTCGGGTTTGGTACTTCACTACAAGCTTGGATTAAGGACTTTTTATACGATAGAAGGTAAATGGGACACTATCCAGGTGGAAACCTGTGATGAGTGGAGTTCCTCAAGGAACAATCCCAGGTCCACTACTTTTCATGTTACATATCAACGAATCGCCGAATATGCTCAACTCTTCGGTACTGTTATTTGCCGATGATGTAAAGATTTGGAGAGCCATACGCAGTGATGCATATAGGTATGCACTTCAGGCGGATTTAGATGAACTAGTAGGTTGGTCCAGACGTTGGTGTTTGGAAATCAATTCTAAAAAAAGTGCAATAATATACAATGGTAATAGCAATTGTTTCCAGTATTCCGTTGGTGGTGCACCACCACTACCAGTCCTTGAAATAAAAGACTTGGGTGTCATCATTAGTTGTGATTTAAAAACCTCGGCAAGCTGTAATGCAGCTGCAGTAAAGGGTTTCCGTATATTATGGTCCCTCCGCAGAGCTTTCAAATTCTTTGATGAGGACATGCTTAGAATACTCTACTCTACCTACGTTAAACCTCACTTGGAATACTACATTCAGGCGGCCAGCCCATGCCTGAAAAAGGATGCTGACGCACTCGAGCGTGTTCAAAGGGTAGGTACTAAGCTCGTGACAGGCTTTCCGAATATGTCCTATGAGGAACGACCAGATCAGCTAGATTTATTCCCACTGTTTTACCGTAGAAGACGGGTGACTTCATACCGGCATTTTGTATTCTTAATAATGACTTCGGTACTGATATGTCCTATCTTTTCTCCCTTGCTAGAACTGAATATCTCCGAGGGTATCACAAGAACATTCAAAAACCGCGATCGAATCAACTTAGAGTGAATCTGCGTTTCTCCCATCGTGTTGTCAACGACTGGAACTCCTTACCTCAGCAAGTAGTATCAGCACCTTCTGTCAACGCGTTCAAAGAGAAACTAGATTTTCACAGAGATATCTACTGCAAGGTTTAACACAGGCCAACTGGCCTAATATCCTTGTAACTGAAACTGATTGTCGCCATGTACTCCTACTGAAGTCGCTGAGGCGAAATTCTCAACCAATCTTCCCCGTTTCTTCCCCTTCATTATCTCCATAAAATCTATATTCTCCCCCAAATCAGCTTCCCATAGACAGCTTCCTTTAGATTGTTTAACTTTCTCGTTATATTCAGTTTAAAAGCCCTCGCTTCTAGGCAAATATAATGAACGAATCATCGGAAAAATTTTTTTATAAACCTGATAGTTCTCGTCGCTCACTTATATAACAAACGCAGATTAAACCTCTTCACCCCAACATAAGGGTTTCATTTTAAACCAAGCGCAGACCCCCCAAAGGTCATGGTTTAAAATCTGCGTTGTAGAAGTAGCGAATAGTTGTTTCTTGGGTATTATGTGTGTCCAAATAGTATATGTCCCTTGTTAGAAATGTTCACTTGTTTTCCTGTCTCATGGAAACCTGAAAGGACGTAGATTTTGTATTAATTAATCAGCTTGCAGTAGGCAGTGGTGTTGCCCTTGTTTTGTAATTCGACGTGTGGCTACTTGAATACAGCCCTCAAGTATCTCAGGACTATAAGTGTGGATCTAATCTCTTATTCAGAGGTTCGAGAGAAGGGCTGTGTTACCTTCTTTGAGTACGTAGTTCTGCAGTTTACCTATTCTGATCATAAACGCGTTGGAGCGGACCATCGTGCAGGCTCTCACATGTTGTATTCTCAAAGGATGACTTTAACTGTGGGTGTTTCTGGTTGAAGCTTAAAAGTGCTCCTGAGAGACAAAGGGGATTATGGGTGATATGATGATATCTAATTACCTTCCCTCTGGTATTTCTGCATTGTACCAGACGCAGCTTTAGAGCAGCCAAATGATTTAGACATGGTAAACAACCATCAAGTTAATCTCTAGATGGGGGTGCATACGCACTCAGTGAATTGCAATGAAAACGTCTGGAGTGAGATTCTTCAGAGTTTGAGGGACCCTAGGATTCCACACTACTTGTTGGTTGCAGTGCAGTAGTGGACAGAAGTTCCAAGTAAGTCACTTGAAGTAACCAAAATATCTCATTCGATTTTTGATATTTATTTTCCTTAGAGAATAACCAATAGATTTCAGCCCACATTTCTCTACAATCATTATTCTGTAGTTCTTGCTGTTGAAAGGGAGCAGGTTTTCACCTGTCGATTTTGCGACTTTAAAAGGGCCTTCATGAGGGACCTAGGTGTTTATTAATCCCTGCATCTTTCTTCAACTCTTGAAACCACTAGTCTGTTGCCGTTAGTAGGAATTTGTGCTTGTTAGCAGGTCATTCATGAGGGCAAAACGGCAGTTAACCAAGAATGGGACCCTGAGTCGAGTCACTCATTATCGGAACCCAGCTAAATTGGGAGAAGCTAACTTTGACCGACTGAAACTAGCTGTTAACGTAGTCCTCAAACCATCAGAGTGACCCCCCGTGCAGCCCCATCGGGTGAAGTCTATTACGCAGAATATCCTGGTTATTCTGTCCGAGGCTTCCGAAAAGTCAAGCGACCTAACAAAGGTGAGGTTTTCTTACTCAAAAGAGAGGGTCCAGCTGTTTCATTTTGTCAGCACGTTGATGTTACACGGCCTTCCAGGTGACGATCCCTCTTGACAGGCAGTTCGATTTAAGTTTCCAAGTAAATATTCATGGAATGAGTCATTCGATACTCTTCCCACAACCGATACAACAGTAGAGACCTAAAGGACTGGTCCATAGTCGATGACCTCACGTAGTTTACTGGTTCATTAATCTACCAGCTGGTCCCAACCCCAGATGAAGAGGGAAGGTCGGGGATAGGACTAGCAACCCTATCCCATAGAACCAATCCAATCGCTAAAGAAACTTCAAAGCACAAAGAAAATATAAAAAATTATTCTTCGTTGAAATCAGGGGAATGAAATGACGCTGGTTGAAGAAAGCCTACGGTGAGCCGGCTGGTCGATGTGCCTCCTCCCCTCCTGAAGAAGGAAAAAGTGGGCATAGGGACGTGTAACGTCCACACGATATTTGAACCTGGCTGGCAGGGCTGCCCAGATTGCAAAAGAAATGAGATGTGGCTTAAAAGTGATAGGAATCCGTGAGAACAGATTAGATGAAAGTGGACTCTACTAACAGTCAACTGGACAGTCAGCAATCTACTCCGATATTGTCACCCAGATGAAAACCACTAGCATGTTCAGTTTTGGAGTGGCTGTCATGAAGAGCATCGAAGGCTCTCTCTAATGCAGTGGGAACCAATGTACTCTGACATCACCATTATGACAGCAAGATTCAACTGAAAAGGAAGGAAAGTCACAAGCTTACAATGCTACGCTACGCAACTAAAAATAATGCAGGTGAAGAGAAGAAGGAGGAATTCTAGAGACAACTGCAATCAGTCAGTACTGGACAACACCCCACTCCAGTTGGCGATGGCGACATCAAAATTCATTTGAATGGGATGGGTGACATGAATGCGAAACTGGGAGCGGACTACACAGGAGGAGAACTGATCATCATGGGTCGAGAATCACTCGGTGAAATGAACGACATGGACACACCACACTAAAAATCACATCGACTTCATCTCAATGTTATGAAGGAAGAAGAGAAGGCGAGAAGAGCAATGGATCCGACGGAACTCCATATAGAGGCTGATAAAGCAGGGAGAGGAAGATGGTGGTGGTGGAGCAGAAGATGGACCAGTCCAGTCCAGTCCAGTCCAGTGCAGTGGAGTGGAGTGATGAACAAAGAAAAGTGGAACTGAACGCAACCTACAAAACACTACACTGAACACAGAAGTGAAGAAGGGTGGGTGGAAAGACAAAATACACTTGTACGACACACTGGCAAGTGAAGCAGAACAGGCCGCAGGCCGGTAGGAGACACACAGACCTGACAACACTATATCAAATGACCAGTCTACTATCTGGGAAGGAAGAGATCAACGCAGATGAGACCAATGAAAGATAGTGAAGGAAACCCAGTTGCTGCCAAAGAGGAGGAACAAAAGAAACAATGGTCTGACCACCTCAAAAAACTCTATAATCGACCACCACCACCACCGCCACCTGCAACTCGTCCAGAAATACCACCAGCAGTTCAGCCACACTACTATCAGAGACAAAAGGAGAAGTGAAGATCTGAACGCCATAAAGTTGTGGAAACCCGGTGGAGCAGCAGGAGCAGATGGAATTCTACCAGAAGTACTGAAAACGAACTCAGAGACTACAGTGGACACGCTCACACCACTATTGCAGAAGGTTTGAAAGGAAGGAAAGGCACCCACCTATTTACTGGAAAAAGGGCTACCCTGTCAAACTTCCAAAAAAGGGTGACCTAAGGCTTTGCAAGAAATGGCATGGAATCATATTCCTGTCATCCCCAAGCCAAACATCGAGATGAGACTTGAGGTGAACGTAGAGAAGACAGAAGTGGTGAAGATACCCAACCAACAACAAGCATTAATCACCATGACCGGAAGAAATCTGAAGGGGGTTGTCTCTTTCACCTACCTACGTACCTACCTAGCTAGGCAGCATCGTTTCAACTGCAGGCGGCAGCACAAATGAGGATGTCGAATCCAGGATCGGGAAGATAGCAAGACAGGCCTTCATTAATCTGAAGTTACTGTGGAGATCTAATGCACTGCACTTAGTACAAAGCGTGAAGAAGATCCAGATTTTCAACACTAATTTAGTCAAGTCAGTCCCATAACAGTTCTCATTTAGTGTCCAAACTAAGTAAGTTGTTGAGATTTTGAAGCGTTGAAGGAGAAAAGCACATGATCCCTATGTCTAGGAGGGCCGTAGATGTTAAAGTTGGATACACCAGTAGACCGAGTGGTAAGAACATAATCTAGGTGGGACGCCTTACTGTCTCACCCTAATTGAGTACAGTGAAAGACATATTCAGCGGAGCAGTCCTCTCTTGCTCATTCCGGAAGTCTTCTCGCAAGAGCCAGCGGACTCGTAGTAGTGAAGATCTGAAGAAAGTGAATGTCCTCCATCATGAGGACCTGAAGGCATTTCAGATCTAAGGCTTCTCTAATGGGCTAGATAGTTTTGTGGAGGTTGCTGGGAGATGGTATAAAACTGTGGATAACAAGGGACCTCTGTGACATTCAAGGCTACGCCAGAGCATATCTTTAGTGCTAATTATTGGGAAAGAAATCCCACGGGCTTTCAACCGAAGACAGGTGTCAAGAAAAACACAGCCTCCCGATTTCTGTCATTTATCTTTTGAAACTAAGTTTAACCCGCACAGGAAGAATTCGTCCCCTTTATAGCATGTATGAGTAATGTCTCACTGATGGGCTCTACGCTGTGACGCTCCTCCTCAAGGAATAACGTCGTCTCAAGTGTCTTCGGGCGTAGACCAAACACACTACTTTGAAAGTGGCAGTGGAGAGTATAAGGCTCATAGTCCTAGCAGCTGTTTGAATCAATACGATTTTTAAGTTGGCCTTTAACCGGCTGACTTTGTCAAGATTTTTGCTAGTGAGGTAGTGGAATTCATAGTGTAGCGTCATACACTTCCCCAAAATCAATAGCCTAGGGTTTGACGACTTCGACATTGATGCTGACCTTGATAGTTTAACTGGACTCGCTAAGCTGAAGGCATCCGGTCAAGCATCCTCGCCATTTGGCACGCTGTCGTGTTACGTTGCATTGCTCGTATTCGACTCTCTAGCCAGTTAGTTGGAACGCATCGGTATTTTGGCATAACCATCCAAATATACTATTCCATCCGACTACGCTATCGTGTTCTTCCTTGGTCTCGTATTCGTGGGTATATAACAAGTTCGAATAATTAGTGATTGGTCTTTGCGTCTGTCAAGTTCGCACCAGGACAAATCCTAAATTGGTGAGCCCGACGTGATCACATATCCCGACCAATAGCAAGTATTGAATTGGTGAGCCTGTTCCATTTTATATTTGTTTATTGTTTTCATTTCGATAACATTTATATATCCATTTACTACACTTTCTCATGTCCGACCACACTCCCAAGCTTATTCGTATTAAGCCGACCTCGAACACGATCCAACTCGTGCCATATTGGCCAGACAATGCAGAAACATGGTTTCTGTATGCCGAGGCCGATTTTCGAGAACAGGGTGTCTCAGATCCTCATCTCGATTTCTTGCTGTCATACGTTCACTACCGCGAGAATTAAACAGGTTTGTTACAGCAAACATGTTTAATCCTGAAGTAAGTGACCCTTATGCACTTCTAAAGGCTGCACTCTTGAAGAAAAGCGATCTCACAGATCGCCAACGTC